ATTCTGTCTTCACATCGACATCTGAGAAGATCACCAGTGGAGATGGGCAGAGTGGAGAACAGAGGAGCTTAGATTGCACTGAATGTTCAGATAAGGTGACAGGAAAGGGCAAAACAGGGCAGGACAACATGGGAAGTGGACTGTGGTTACTGTTACACTCGGAAGAGATCATTCAACCGTTGGATCATCTTACCCACCTGTGGAGGCCAGGATGTGACTTGGTCACAAAGTACCACAGCAAGGAGTTGAGAATTTGTCACCTCACCCTGAACCTCAGTACGTACAATTATCAACAATTACAACCAACATGGCAGACTGACATGGTGGACCACAGTAGAGCAGGTCAAAGGAATAAACAGGAACAAGTAAAACCTTTAGCTAGTAATAGAAATGTTGGACTCTGAAGCTGCAGCAACCCCAATAGAAATACTGGAATACCGGAATAGAAATACTCAGACTTCTGAAAGCTTCAGAGTTAACATAACAAGAACCTATACTTCACTACAATATTGCTAGACAGGTTAACCATTATAGTGCTAATATGACAGATTTAAAATCAATTTAAAATGTATTCTTAATTAGAATCAAAACTTTACAACAAATTTGAATCTACAAGTAGAAGAAATTCGCCATGTACATGGCAAAAAAGCTAGAAAAAATATCTGGAACATTATTATTGATTCTTTTTATAATTTAGTTTTAAAAGCAAATTCGGTACCAAAAGTGATAATGGAAGGTCAAATGATCTTATTTGAAATAAAAATATCACAAAATATTTGTCTATTAGTTTTCCAAATAATAACAGAACCTGTGACCAGGAGCGGTCACCGTAGCTGTGAGATGTTAGTTTTAGAGCATAGGTAAACGGTTTCATCTATGGTGGGCCTGTACCCTACACAGAGAAAGCACATGTTTTCCATTGTGGTTAAAAGAGATGGGGATTAAAGTGTAGCACAGCCAGAGCCACAGCTATACACCCCATGGTGGGATCACAGTCCTCCCTGGTCTTTGAGCAGTGCTGATGCAGCTCAGTTGGAGGCTTGGTATTGTGTAAGGAGAAGGCATGGTCAAATCTACTTTATAGGTAAGGCCAAAAGAAAAACATATTTATTGGTTTTGAGGAGGCAGACAAGTAGGTAAGTTGGAAAAAGACCCTCAAACAAAAATTATTAGGGTTATGGAAAGGTGTTGAAATGAACTGGATATTGCTTACACAACCCCAAAACTGTCCCAATAAAAGATAGATCACCTTCAAAGCTCATATTAAAAATCATAAAAAGGTGAAAGAATGACGCTGGTTAGAAAAGAAAAAAAAATGGCAAATTGCCAAAAGTTGTTTAATGTTTGACTTTCACCTTGGTGCCTCGAGGTCAACTGGGCCACATTCAGGTACCACAGGGGATAGTTAATGCAGGAGACTGTGACCGTGTAGCCAATTAACAACAGACACTTTATAAAGGCAAGCAGTGCAAGGGACATTGAGCAAGATATGCATAGTGAAGCATATCTGCGCTTACCAAAAAAAAAAAATGCCAATTAACAAACACCACATGAAGTTCTGCTATGACTGCATTGGCTGCAGAGCTTTTACATGAGCAGCAAGTATAACGACTTTGTGTGCAGAGCGAGGAAAGATGTAGGGAGGGCTGAACATTCATTTTGTCAGTTCCACCCAGCAATAGTATCCAGTGCTGAGTGCTTTGAGGGTTGTGAAGTATTTAAGGGTTTGACTACTTTCATATAAGCATATAAAAAGGAAAAATTTAACTGAAACCATTTTTTACACTCTTTACATTTTTAAATATTCTAATGTTTGGTGAAGAAAATGCTTATGCAGACTATTTAGGTCAAATTTGAATTCAAGCTTAATTTTGTAACAAAAGCACACTTGATCACGTAAATTAAGTGACTCTGAATTTCCACCCAAACAAGCAAAACCTGAGCATCCCAGAAAATTAGAAACCTCCATTCTTAACCTTTTGGCCTCCCATAAACTAAAATAATTACATGTATTTTGTCTGTCAGTTCTGCAACACTGGTGTATCCCCTTCTCTTTGTGTTTGTGGGAGGAACTGGGTAGTGGGGATTGCGTGCAGGGCGTCTGAGCAGATTTGCTGGACTTTCTCACCCACAAACACACTGCGGCTGAAAGAGGACGGCATGTTAATGAGTGTGTGCTAGGTTGTGTTTTGAAACTGGAAAGAGATTTACGGAGTGATTGGAATCAGCTCTGAAAAGGTCACGCTGAACAAGTTCATGAGACTAAGTGAATGCAGTTTCGTCTTCAATCCAGGTGACTCAAAGCCAGTAGCTTCTCTACACACTGGTACCACTCAAACCACTTATCCCTCCTTTATGACATCATTAGTTTCCGAATCCAGTGACGCCACACTGACATTTGGTCTCTTTGATTAATTGGTTCCTACAGGGCTCTAGGAGTATTTCCGACCGAAACCAGAAAAGAACACACTTCTTCAGCACTGATTTGTTAGATCTAAACACTCATTTAGCCTAGAGAAAACCACAATCCAGGATGATCTAACATGAAATAAAAAGCATAACTCAATGTAGCTGAGTTTTCTTGAACTCGGTCACAGCTTTATATAGGATGTCAGTATTAGGCGTATCTGTCAAAGTACCTTGACAACAAACATCCAACAAAAACATATCGACATAACACATGGATCATAGCACAAACCTAAATGCATGCCTCTGTGCACATGTTCCTCATGCGTTAATTAGTAAGGATTGCAAATATTCCCATGTAAGATGAAAACTCTCCAACAGTGGAAAAAGGTAGAATGAGGAAAACATGTAATCCAGCTAATCCTGCAAGGATTAGGACCAGGCGAATATCAGCAATAATAAACAAATGACTAACATTCCCGGCCTGTGTGGTTTCAAGCCCCAGGGCTCCAGCTAGAACCCAGCAGGGTCTGGATCCAATCCCTGCTGTTTATCAGTGCACGAAGAAGTGGCCACTTGTGAAACCTCTGTGATAAACGCTTGGGGGACAAACAGAAAATGGCTAACAGAGGAGCCTAACCAAATCACTCCTCCGAGTTGGGGTTGTAGATCAGACCTCAAACACCACAGCCTGATATTCTGGCTATGTTCTTACCACTCTATTTTTCACAGTGACATAGTTTTCTATTACACTTTTTTATATGGGCTGATGGTTTGATATGACCTTCAACATGTTTTTGTGACAAAAATACTCTACTCTGTCAGGCAACATTTGGACTTTTTGTAATTTACAATTACAAAAAGCAAAACTATGCAAGTAAACAAACAAAGGAAGTTGACATAGTACAAATCTGTTTGTTCCAAAAAGGAGTGCACCCACATTGAAAGGCTTTCAACACTTTCAATAGATTTTAATTTATTGTGAATACGTGTCTAATTCATTTACTGACACAACTCAATCGTTGAGCATTATTTTTTATCTGGACTGATTGGGAGATCTAACACTGAACAAATTAAAATTTGATTTATGTGATTACTAAAACCACAGATACTAAAGTTTGCACTTTTACAATCTTTTTTGATACAACCATTTTAGCTTAAAGATATGCTTTGATTAATTAACAGAGGCAAACATATTTTTTTTGTTTTTTTTGCTGTATTCAAAACTACTCCCAATCAATGAACCAATTGTAATTGATGCTGTGGATTAAGGTCAAGTTTTTTTCATTGGGCATATTGACAGGAACATTTTTAACAAATTTATTTCCCTGTCTTATCAGAGGCAAGTTATGCAGTGGATAAGTCAACTGGTCAATCACAGGACAAATGACCATGGATGCACACAATTACATCTAAGGGCAATTGAATGTCTAAAGAGTTTATTATTCCATCTTTAGGACAGAGGAACACTGCTAGAGTACTTTGATAAAGCTCTGGCAAGGTGAAAAAAAAGTTTTTTAAGAAAAAAATCCTTGAAATAAAGTCAGGGACCCTCTTGCTAACTTTAAGGATGGCAGAATTTCTAAGAATTTCACCATCATGTTACTTAATAAAAAAAAAGAGCTACTGTCTGAATGAAAATATGAAACAGCAAAGCCGTTCTGTTTATTGACAAAATATTGGTATCTGGTCACCATGGAGTTATTGCAGAAGAATGTTAGACGGGTAACATAAGGGATCATAAATGCCCTGAAGGAGTAACAGGGTTGCTTAATTGCGCTGTGTTGTAAAACTACAGATCAAAGTCAAAGAAGTGAAAACAGGTTGTATTTTCTGAAACTGCTTCCACTGGTAACGCAGACACAATAGCTTTGTTATATTTGACATCTGAGAAAGTGTTTTGACTCAAACTAGGTGAATATTCAGATGTTCTAATATCGAAACACCAGAATGTAGGGGCAATTAAAATCAGTTTTTTGCACTTTCAGATTTCTTTTCAGATTCAATGTGGAAAGAGTGAAGAATTTGCAACATCTTGCTTTCTCTGCCTGCCTCCACCACAACACCTTACCTGCTGTGCCCAGTGACTTAGAAAGTCTGAAGGACTTTTCTGTCCCAAAGCAATTCCCTGCCTGACACAAAAGCCATCTGGGGTGCGTCTGAGAGCTTAAGCAACAGAATAACTCTTTCAAGCAAAACTCTGCATGGTTCTGACTGCAGGGCGCTGAGGTTGCCACTACCTAGACTCCAACTGTATCTCCTCCTCCCCTTCCACCCCTTAATCCTGACCTACATGACTGACTCCAACTGAAAGCTCCACACGCCAGAGGTAGGAACCAAAAGCAATGTCAGATATATATAAAAAGGCCACCTGCTCATCAAATTAAATTGCATCCACAATAGTGAATAAAGAGAAAAAGAATGAAGGGGGAAAATGAGAAAAATAAAAGGAAAGACAAGTGACTCGCCTGTCTTTGTGATCTTGGCAGACAAAAGAACAAATTGTATGTCTGTGTCATGATTCTACGGCTCAAATCGGCATAGAAACCCACTTAGAACTGCTCACTTGTGTAGATGTTGATATAGGTTCCCACCTGAGAGCGGAAGAGGTGCACAGACTCCCCTTTCAGCCTTTCATCTTGGTTTCTTTTGTATTCTGTGACACTTGTACGTCCTGTCTCTTTCCACTATTGAGCAGAATTGACTGTTATTATTCCAAACAGCATTATCTTTATTAATGCCACAGGTCTCAGGACTGTGCACTTGCTGGGAGCTGGGTCTGGATGGAGCACAGCCCAGTGTGGCTAGATAAAAGCTCAGCATAGAGTGATGTATGCAAGCCAGACAGCTCCGACGGGCCTTCATCCTTGCTCTTCAAGCTCAGAGAGAGGCAGAGGACCTACAAAGACAAAGATATGACTTTAATCTTTAGATCAGGTGGAAACATTTGTTCTGAGAGTAGCATTATAGAAGACTATCAAAGCCACTTTAGGTTAGCTGGCAGTCGGAACAAACACATTTTATCATGAACAAACTTATTTTGTTGAAATTGAGAGGAAACAAAACAAAAACAAACTTCTGAACCAAAACTATGTTATGTTTTGTTATTCATATATTTCTGTTATGGCTGGTATTAACTTGAATGAGGCTCTTTCCCAAAGGCTGTCATGCATGACAAGTTATTTTAAAGGTGGTGTGGAGAGCTGACGTGTGGCCAGGCCTGGGCAGGGCAGTGGCCGGGTGAGCTTAATGCCTCAAGCCCCTCGCTCCACACAAAATACATCACACACTGGAATGATATGACAAACCAAGGACACCAGAAACAGCCGTGAGGACCACCCAGATGGTGGCACAAGACGACAAACACACCAAAAAAAAAAAAAAAAAAAAAAAAAAAAAAAGAAGAAAAACACACCCATAAACCCATACATTTTTCTTAACTTTAATGGTCATAGAAATTACCATTATCTAAAAACAGCAATGGCAAGATAGACCAAATACTGAAGATAAAGTCAAAATTTGCAAGTGCTTTATGTAATTAATCTGAAACAATTAGAATAAGAAGAAAAAAATGCTGAGACTTCCTCATACCTAACAAGTGACGCTTACTTATCGGAGCCTATCTGTTTCTGCAGAATTAACTTTTTCAGATAGCTATTTCTGGTAAAGCATGTCTTATTTTTTTTGTTTTTTTGTCTGTTGTCTATAATTCTGTTCTCAAAGTGTTGTGACGCTTCATCTTTGCTCCTTCTACAGCCCACAATTTTCATCCCCAAGGCAGAATAAGATAAAATTTAAATTTTATTTACCCAAAAAGTTTGTTTCTGATTGGAAATCATTTCAATATCTCTCAAAAGATAATAAAAATACTAAAATTTTTGCTATGTTTTTATATCTACATGGTCTTTAAAGGTAATTGGTTAGAAGTCAAAAATATTCTGGTCATTCCAGAATTATTATTTTTTGCATTCTTTCTTAATTTCAAAGATCAGAAAAGCAGCTTTCTAAGCAGAGAAAAAACGACAGAAAACATTTATCCTAAATTAACGACACTCAACTGACTCACTCAACATTTTCTGTCATGAAACAGATCTTCTAGTTCATAGACAGTTTGAAAGCCATTTCTCTCTATAAGTCACATTTCCTGTCAAGAGCATGTGCAAATATGCTAAGCCAAAGAGGAAAAACCAAGAAAAGCAAATATTTCCCGCTTGCTGGGGCACAACGCAACCGAACCTTGAGGCACCAGTTGGATGAGCTGAACAATAACAAATGACAAATCGGACGTGGTGCATTCCTTGAGCAAACACTGATCTCATAAATGGAGACAGGTAGACAAACACTCACCTGCCTTGAGCAAATAAGACACACACACTAACACATCCATACTTTGAGAGTAGTCAGTAAGTTTCTGTAACTATGATAACTTTATTTCAGTGAAAATGTTTTTTATAGTTAAAAAGGTGCTTTTTTAGCAAATTACAGTAACACTGCAAACTGTCCAAACCTGAAGTTGCAAATAAAATCTTACTTTCTCACAAGTTTAAAGACTTAATTCAACCCTATGTGTAGTCAGAAGGGGCTGCACTGTCAATGCTTTGCATTTATGTGAACATCCTTTGCTGCCTTTTGATTGGGCACTCCAACAGAGAAGATGAAGAGAAGAGGAAGTTGTGGTGGCAATGAGTAGCAATGGGGATGACTGGTAGCAATCACATCAAGGGAAAAAAAATACTTGGTTTCTATAGAGATGAGTAAACAGCGGCAGAGAGAGAGCAAAAAATGGGGAGTGGGATGTAGAGGGAGGGAGGCAATGACTGACCTGCAGTAGTTAACAATTCATCCCTGTATCCGGATCTCAAATGATTGGGCAAACATGGAGTGCTAGAGAGGCTAATGGGCCCCAAAGGGCTGAGAGAGGGGCATCACCCCATGGGTGACACAGTGACAGGCTCCCACTGTTTGGTGTGAGTAAGGAAAAGGGACTGCCAGGAAGGGGGGAAGGGAGTGCAGAGGGGAGGTGAGGGCATGATGGGTGATGGGAGAGTAGCTAAGCAAACAGGATCATGGCTGACTACAGTACATTCATCAAATGGCAAGGATGGCTGAAGCCTTTGAAAATAGAGTACATGGATGAGTTGTGTAAAGATCCCATTCTGAGGATAATCTTTAAAGAGTACCACAGCAAACATCAACCAATAAATTCTGTCCCAGGTCCTCGTGTTAAGCTAAAAAGGTAAGAACATTTGGATACTAGTTGTGCCAACAGAGGAAATAAAAATTTTACAGGCCTGAATCACAGTAACAGTATATGTTTCTGGCACATATCCACTTTATTACAGAACATTTTACCCATCTGGGTGAGCCACTAAGGGAACACACATCACCTTTACAGGGATAGTTTGGATTTTTTAATGTGAAATTCTGTAAAGTTGTTGGCGAACGTTCCCTTACCTCTAGTAAAAAGATAAAGATGTCATTCTGAGCAATGAAAAAAAAAAACAGTTAGTAAAATACGGGTTCCTAGTTTCAGCTGATTTAGTTAACTAAAACAACACAAACTGAAAATGCTTACGTCTGCGGCATACAATGCTTTTTACCATATTTGAACACTATACTTGACATTCAAGAGACACAGTTGTTAAGTGTATTACAGTTTTATCAGCTGAAAAATGTCAGGTAACTATGATATTCATTGGGATGAGATGTAATTCGTCAGTCTGCTCTGAGGTTCAAGAGTGGACTGAACTTCTGAAACACTGGAGACAGTGTTGGCTTAAGAACATGTTCATTGGCTGAGAAAACAACCCAACAAATGTTGCAAATACTTTCAATTTAGTTGTTTGAAATTGTTTAGTCTTTTCAAATTGTAGCTCCTGTAGAAGGAGCTAAAACAGTCTGTCTATCAGTGTTCCAAAACGCTGAAATTTCTTCATTTTTTCAGTAACATTTCTACTCAAACTAATGTAACTATTACACTAAAGCAGTATGATTCTCTTGAGATTATTTTAGATCTGCTTTGCTGTTATGAACAGGTAAGATAATACAAGTATTTTTGTCCAACTTTGCAGATATATTCCATTGCCATAATCTTTTATATCTTCACTTTACTGAGCTAGGTTACTTTAGGAGAAACAGAGTCAAAGCCTGTAATAGTCAAAGTCAGAACTATTTTATTAATCCCTGGGTGAAATTGAATAATATGAGGTACAAATGAAAAAAGGGATTCAAAGCCTGCAGGATCCGTTTCCAAAACGGATCCTGCTAAGACCACTGAACAGCAGTGTGTAGTGCCGTCCATGACAAATCAGTGAGAGAAAAACCAGATGAGAGACGGATGGATCACATCATCCTAAAAACACACGTAAGGCTTCAATGCTCTTCTCATACTGGGCCAGACTTTACGTAGTGTTGTAATTGTTCTTGGTCAGGAGTGGTTTTCTTTTTGTAGCTTCATGCGCTGTCACAGCTGGGTTAACTCACAAGAGTGGCAACTCTCATGTTATCTAATTGCCTGGCTAAGTCTGAAGGGTTGAAATGCCATCATTACAACAGTGCACAGCCATACAAAGGGTGTGTAAGCAATGAGGACCTTTTACTGGTTCTTCACTTTCACCCACGTCAGAGCTGAGGGCTGAGGCATGCTGTTCCTTTACTTTGAATAAGGCTACTCTTAATTATAATCTACGCAAAACATTTTAAGACAGAAAACAGGACAACTACTGTGTGTCTGTCAGAGAGAGGGAGAGAAGAATGAAAGAAAAATAAGGAGGGAGAGTGGGATTATGATAATAATAGCAGATGTGAACTTATGAAGAGTCATTTCTCGAAAGGTGTGTCATTCAGTAACTTTGGAACAAACTTCTGGCAGTGGCTGGACTCTATATTTAGCATATTTACTAAAATAAAAAGTGAATTCAATCTGGCATTGGAAGTTTCTCCTCCCTGTTTATGACCTCAACGGTGGTGCTACCGTCACTAATGACGAAATAAGAACCATATAAAGAAAGAAAAAAAGGTCTCCTCAAATAGTCAGTACATAAGGAAACACTTCCAAAATAAAGGCTCCTATAAAAGATCCTGTTGTGGAGAGCCAGGGCATGAGAAAAGTTGTTTACTGTGTTCTATATTTAGAACTGAATCTTGTTTTACAAAACGAAAACATTTGGAAGATGACCAGTTTGACCATCTGAGTTAAGTTTATTCTCAAATGTTACAATGCCTCAGTATTCATGCTTCAGTAAATGTTCACATTTTGTTGTTGAAAAGTTTAAATCAGAGTGAGTTTCTAAAACAATAACCCAGGCTCTGAATATCGCACATGGCACTGATCAATCGAGCAAGGAGAGCAGAGGACCTGACAGCGGTACTAAGATCCACAGTTTCAGAATCTGTCAATTTGGCAAGACGTACTTTGGATCTTCACAAATCTGATCTTTATAGTACAGTGCAAGAAAAAAGTGAGGGAAAAAAAAGCAAGAAAAACCTGAATTTTACACAAGTAGGTGGAAAGCTTTGACATTCAGAAGGTGTCCCAAGCAGATGAGATCTCTTCAAAACCCCTGAAGAAATTCTTTGTATATGGGGCTGCAATTGGAAAACAAAAGTATCTGAAGGTTCAAAGGATATGACTACTGAAAGCATGTACAGCAGATGAAGAGAATGCTCCTGGAATCAAAGTAATGACTAATTGTAACAAAGGTCCCAGATAAGCTCGAAAGCAAGCGGGAGTCAGGCCTGTAACTAAAACACAAGCATAAACACAAGCGATGTTAGGGATTACACCCTGCAATTCACCGCAGGAGATCACAGACGGAACAGGTGTAGCCATCTCCGCAGATGCATTCTTCTCTGTGAACATTGTGCCAGCATAGGTCTAAATGACAGCTCATCATCTGC